AAGTTTATTCCTTATCTAGATCCCTTCATGTAAGCTGACTTGTGCCCTTTTTATTGAGGAAAAATGGCATAAATATAGTGCATCTGAGCAGGATAAGACTAGAAGGATGCAATCGACTTCCTGGTAAAGTACAACCCATATATTGACTGCTATATTACTGGCATGAGGCATGCTATGGAAAAACTCTTTCAAGTAAAGCAGGCTCATCCAGGACCCCCTCACTTGGGATCCATTGAGGGCTAGTGTTATCTTTATGGATAAATTACAGATAGGGTATTGCTAGTACCATATAATGAGCTGTGTAAGAGGTGGGGGGTTTTGTACTTCTTTCAGAGCTTTACTTTGGCTTTTATTTTGGACACAGCTGATGTTTATCTTAGGTAAAATGTGTTTGTGATACTGAAACGAAGGACCTCTGGTACAGCTGTGACTAAAACTCCATTTAGGGAACTACCTCACTCAATGGTTGCTCTCAGGGATCTTTACATACACTTCAGAGGTGAATAGAGAGACATAAAGCAAAGAAGATCTGTCTGGCATCTCTCTGTGTTGATGTCTAGATAATCCTGGCAGCAACTGAAGATCTCAAGCTGCAGCTGAAGACTGTGACTGAGTGGCTGCTTGTGCTGGATGAAGAGGTGGTCTAGATGCTGTCAGCAGCTGCACAGCTGCTTCCTGATTTCCTCAGCTCCTTTCACAGACTATGGTAATCACTCTGAAATTGCTGCCTGAGCATTTCCCAGTATCATCTTGTTTATCCCTGTGTTTAGGCATGGTATAGCTGAGTGATCATCCCCTGAGCCAGTATAGGCAGCTACATTTCCCCAGAAATGCCAACCAGTAAAGAGAAAAAAAGCCCTAACCTAAAAATGCATTGTGGTGACTCCTTTCCTCCCTGAATAAGGAGAGGTAAATTCCCATTTGAGAGCTATAGAGGAGGCAAAAAGGCTAAACAGCTTCGTGAGATCCTGGAAAGCAAACACAAGTGCAGTGTGTGCATGAACTAAGCACAACTGTTTAAAGAACTTGTCAGTCTAGTAACTGGAAGCAAAATTTGGTCCTGCCACCTTCACCATACAGAAATCACATAGTGCTAGAAACCGATTTCAGAACTACCTGCTGGTAGAAAGATGGTCTAGGATGTACAGTAATACGACTGAGCTTTCTAATTGGAAACACCAATCGAGGATTCTGTAGCTAATAAGAAATGTTGCATTGAATTTCCTCAGACAAAAAATCCAGCTGGGGTAAGGCAAGCTCTGCACTATAGTTAATGGTCAATCCTATTCTCTAGGATAGCTTTTTCTATGCTTTCTTGTTTTCCAGACTGTGCTGCCCTGTGTACCCAAGGACCAACTCCAACCTTTCCTGTCAAACACTCGAACATCATACAAAGTGACAGACACCTTCACAGAAAACCTGAGATTGGCCAATATTTCAAGTCTTTCTCACTCTGTAGATTATGTGGGACTTCTCACATCTCAGACTGTGACTTAAGGATGAGATAGCTCAAATCTTCCAAACCTACCAGGAGTGGGGTTACAGAATTAGCTGTCACTGTTGTCCACATCCTTCCGTGACTACCATTTGTGGATTTGGACAACATGCAATTTCTTAAAAATAAAGATTGGTTTAGATTCCATTGCTTTTACATCTCAACAGATCTTACCTGAAGTCAAGATTCACTACGCACTGCTATTAAAAAAAATTTTTTTTAAAAATGGAGTTTTGTTAAATCCAGAGCAGTGTTGACCTGCAGAGCCCAGCTCCCCTTTAAGTAATTAGGTAGCAACAGTCTTTTCACTGGGATTGTACAAGCATATTTTAGAGAAGTTTACATATTTATCCTCGAAATCGTGGATGTGTATCCTTGTTGCCTCTACATTTCTGTGTGTTTTCCCAAAGCTATCCAATCACAAGTCTCAAACTTAGAACTGCTTCCATGTCTTGCTTCTGATATCTCAGCTTTTTTTCTGTTTTTGCTGAGTTAGTGTTATGCGGATCACCTTATGCTCTGGCTTATTCTGGGAGATTTTTATTACCATTTTGCTCACAACCCCATCTATTTGATTAATTCCCCCTTGCTTTCCCCCCAAAACGTGAAAGGACACACAGACCAAGAGAGCGATCTCTGCTAGCACTTGGTGCTAGCATGTACAAGGCTGCACACGAGATGATACAGACTTCTCATTCACCTCTTCGTATGTTACTCCTTTTTCAGATGAGTAGTGAATTACCTAATTAAAAAAAAATACTACTGCTGCAGTTAGGTATTTTGATGCAGTTCTATTTATTTATCTTTTAAAAACATAAAAAGTCCTGTTCTTGAACCCAAGCAATTAATTCCTTGTGCTTCTTATCTAAGACTCTTTCAGCTGGAATTCTGTCTGAAAACTTTCTCTTCTCAACACTGTTTACCCATGTGCTTTGGTAATGGGACATTTTTCTGATCTTCTCAACTTCTTTACTTTTTCCGTCAAATACAGCTCCATCTAACAACAGCTTCCATTTGCCACATAGCTCTTTTTGATTTGGCTGTATGAAGAAACTTGTTTTTTCCTTTCATTTTTTAAATTTCTTTTCTTTCCAAATATATCCAGAGATGAAAGTTGGCTCTTTATCTCCAAAAAACTTCAAGGGTTGACATATAGGCCATAACAACTCTTGTTCTTTCCTGGGCTCTCATTACCTGAAACAGATGGCAGAGGAGAGGTAGAGTCCTGCAAGATGCTTTCCCTGAGGAAAGCAATTGCCTTTAGTGACAGTTGGGCAAATGTTAATTTCTGACTCATAAGACATCTATTTCATTAAAAAAAAAAAAAAAAATTTTATTTGGAGGAAACACAGCTTCTCAG